AAAGAAACTGAGGCTGCTGAGAGTACTTTAGGTGGCAAGAGGGGAAACAGCAAAGTAGGGAAGTGCCCGGTATCTTTAGAAAATGTTGAGTAATGCGGTACAGTAAGAACGTGGAGTGTATGCAAGAGAGAAGTAGAAATCTAGGAATGGGAATGGACAGCAGCGAATGCTGTCTTCCGTGCTACTAAGTATTTTACATTCTTCGCCACAGTTATTCTCACAAAAACCTACAGGGCAGGCGGTATTACCTGGGTTTCAGAGGGAGAATCTGAGGCTCAGAAAGGCTCATTATCCAGGACCCTGGAGCTGGACTTGAGCGCAGTCAGGGCTCTCTCTTCCCCCGAGTCTGGGCTGTCCCTGGTGTCATGTGGAGCGCCAGTCTTCCGTGTGTCTGTGAGGACCACATGGATCTTTCCAGGACACCTGCTCTCACCATCCCTGCTTAGGCTTCTAGTTCTGCAAATGCTACTTTTACAATGTGACACTGAATTCGCACTCCTTGAGAACAAGGAACTGTCATCCTTGCATTTTTCTCAGGGCTTCTAGTGCCTTGTCTTGCTGTAAGTAGATACTCTATAAACTTTGTTACTAACATCTTTCCATCATGCCTTACGCAGAAGTTTACTTTAGAAGCATTTGATGACAGGTGCCTTAATTGTAAACAATCCCAGGGCACAGGACTGTCCCTGCCTGGGTTGTGGTCTGAAACATTTATTTTGAGAGAGGGGAAGGGGGGACAGAAAGAAAGAGAGAGAAACATCATTGTGTGAAAGAAACATTGATCGGCTCACACACCCCTAACCTGCACACCCCTGATTAGGAGCTGACCCACAACCCAAGCATGTGCCCAGGCTGGGAATTGAACCTGTGACCTTTCAGTTTGCAGGATAACGCCTGATCCACTGAGCCACAGCAATTAGGGCACTGCCTGGGTTTAGAACAGTTTTCTCAGTGCCCTCCTGTTCCCTTTTTAAGGTTTGTATGTGCACATCCCACCAGGCAAAAGGAGAAATATATCAGCAATTCTGTGTGACAAAAACAAAAGCAGGAAATTAACAGGAAGCTCAGGTCATACAGATATGCAGCCAGGTTTAGGAATCACTCCCTATGTCGACTTTTTCCTGTGGTCTTTAAAGGATTTGGGGGGGAGACTTGGATACTGAGGATATATTAAATGACAACAGCTTCTAGAAGAGATTTGTTCCTAGCTGTTTTTCTTCTTTTTTTAAGGAGGCAAGTTTGAACACTTGAAACAATAATTATTTGGGGATGGGGTAGCAAGAGAGAGTGGCAGGGTGTACAAATGTAGATTTCTGATAGAATATAGTAAAAAAGGAACCAGAGCAAGGAGAGGTGGTGCCTTGCATTCAAGTGTGTGAGAAAGAATGACAAAAAGAGGCTGAGAGGAAAGTGATAGAGACAGAGAACAGGTTCTTGTTTCAAGACTGCAGAAGCATAATGCCACTTCGTGCATTATACATGTGTGGAGTACTCCAAACTAAGCACTGCATTTCTGCACGTCTCAAGGATTTTGCTCTTTTTTGCAGCCACTACTAATTATGACCCCACGATACAGTTTGTGTTTCCTGGGAGATGTTCTTTACTCATCCAAGCTCCATAGGATTAGATGCTGTTGGGGAGAGGAAGGGAGCGCTACCATGGACAAACGTGTAGAAACAAAGAAGGTGGACTGAAGGAAGGAGCTGAGAATTATCCCAAGAAAATGGAAGAGCATAAGATCTGAGAGAGAAATTTAGATAGAGAATACATCCGGGGCTGTTTAACTTTGGCTAAGGAATGTGTTTAGTAGTCCATGCATTGTTTTTGTTTTGCTCTGACTAAATAATTTTCCTGCCCTTGTGGGAGAAATAGTGCTTGAATTCACTGTTTCTGTGGGCAGGGTGGGGAAGCTGGTCCAGAAGAGGAAGGTAGTATCAGAAAGAACATGTTTGCATTTGCAGCTATTTACCTCACATCAAATGAGACCTTCGTGCTATATATTTTCTTGTTTGGAAACAACCATACATATGTATCTTACACAGTCATGTTGGAAGTAAATGGAACATTTTTATCAAAGTCCTTGAGGATCCTAGGCAGATCTTTTTTTCTAAATATGAAATATTAAATGATGCTGTCTATAGAAAACCAAACTTATTAAGAAATAACATTTTCCTTAAAGGAACAGTACAAGTAGATAGTACCTAAATATGATGTGAAATTAAACACCATGCTAAATTTGAAACAATGAAAAGTTTTTCAATAGTCAAAACTTACTCTGTAGGGTACGCCCACATCAACTGCTTCTATTAAGACGTCAGGTCAGTAGACACTTTTTTAAAAAATTAGCAAGTTCCAAACTGGAAAAACAAGGGTGTTGCCAGTGGAGGTTGAGGTGAATTGAAAGGCGGGTGGGGTGCCACCACCTCAAGCCAGCATGGAGATGCTGTGGTTAGTGCACTTCATGAACACGACATGCGGCCCTACTCCTGCAAACAAGGCTTTCAAAGTGCATTTTCTGTTTTTCAGGATGAGTCTTCAAGTCATGAATGTAACCAGCGCACAATCCTTCTCTACGGAGTAGGCAAAGAGCGTGACGAAGCCAGGCATCAGCTGAAGAAGATTACCAAAGATATTTTGAAAATCCTAAATAAGAAGAGCACCACAGAGACAGGGGGTAAAGAGACCAAACTCATTTGCTTCCATTGAGCTGTGTTATGTCTTCCCTCTTAGCACAATCTTTATCACAATTGTATACCGCACTGTCCCCGGGGTGTTTCCTCTCCTGAATGACTGTCACATTGGAATATGAATAAGCATATTAACATTTTAAGGCCTTCATTCCATTTATAGTAACCCTTGTATTAAAAGAGCTTGTTCTATAGATAGATGTAGTAGTTTTTATTTTCTACTCTTTTTAAAAAATTCTTAATCAAGTTTTATACTGTATGAGAACTGAAGTATTGAAGAATAAGTTGGAAACTCCTTATTTTGGAAGAGTTTCCCAATCTTTATTCAAGCTTGTAATTTGCTCTGGGCAATCCTATTTGCATGAAAATGGAAAATCTTTCCTTCCATTATTTAGAAGAATAATTGCAGGTAATAGTGGCCCCCCATATCACCAAATGATTTCAAATAAAAAAGAAAATTAGGTCTTTCCTCTCTAATACCATCTTTCCTTGGAATACTCTTTCCTCTGGCTTTTTACATAGTTTTTACAGTGAAGCTGTGCCTCTATATTATGTCACCACATGGCATAATTGAAATTTTGTAATTATCCACTCCATATTTGCCTAATTAATCTTTTCAAGGTTTATGTTGTTAGGCAGTCATGTGATTTAAAATACGGTATCATTATATATATTGCACTACAACCAGTCGTGTTTCTTTCTCTATTACTTATATAATACAAAAGGGGAAAAAAGTTTCGATTTTCCCTATGCAAACAGCACACTTCCTGTACCTGGCCTAAACCACCTCCAGAAACCTTGCTTTGTTGCTCAGTACAAGATAAATAGTCTTTTATGAACCTCTCCACAGAGGACCCTTTATACTCTTAACGAGATGAATTAATTACTAGATAAATTAGCAGAGCTTGTCCATGCTAGATCTTCCCTGCAGGAAAGCACAGATACAGTTAATGCAAATAGCTCTCTTTCCATCAGTAGAGGGGCACAGGCAGGAACAAGGTCCAAGGGTAAAACGCTTTTCACTCTAAATGTGATGTTGTGGGTGCATGAAGCACAGGTTAGTTCTTAGAATGTTCACACAGAATGGAAGAGTTACCCTCGTGATGTGCATCACATTCCCTAACTTCCTCCTATTGCCAGTTAAGGACCCTGTACTGTACCAGCTGCCTGAGGGAACAACTGAGAGGTGTGGAAGGGAAATGAAACCCTGTAGTTGTTGTTGACCAGTCATTATTGAGCTTGAAAAGAAAACTGCTCTAAGAAAAACTGTTGATCTCTCCTTGGCTCTTTTCTCTGTCTTAGAGAAAAGAGGAAATGGGTCTCATTTAGAAGGTTGAATTTAGATGCCCTGAAAGTAGGGAGCAAAAACTATTGAAACTACTTGTTTGTATACTTGAAAAATGAGGTGGACACTTATCTCATTTAAAAGGTTCAGTAATAGAGTTTTTAGAAAATCTAAATTAATTTTAGAGAGTCCTTCCAGGTCCTATGGAATTTTTGGTTTTTGGGAAACTGAGAGGGATGGGAAGAGGAAGGAAGCAATGTGGTATCTTTTTCTGTTGAGTCTACTTCCTTCCTTCACAGAATTTTTTAATGCCAGTCTGTAGTCTATGCTATCTTTGTATAGCCTCTTAAATAGGCAAGTCTCGCTCATGAACTGAAGACACAATTGTTGTGTGCTGCATTTGGGAAATCAGTAATAGAAACACCACTGTGAAGAGGAATCTTCAGAGGGGGGTTTTTTCTGTCCCTCATTTTAGGTAAAATTCCACAACCAGAAATATCTTAATTTGGTGATACAGTTGACCTGTCTTCTGATAGTTTACCTTTAAGTCGCTCCTTAAAACCTAGTGTGCCCAGAAGAAACTAGGTAACTGTCTTTCAGATTAATGGAAATTTGCTCCTTTTGTTAGTAAAGATGAGGATTGGTAAGACAGCAAAACAGAACTTGTGTACACATGTGTTTGATTTCTGGCTAAACATAAAAATAATGATTTTGAAGAATTGATTGGCAGTGTTCTCACATCAACCAGGCCTTACCTAGGGGTATTTATAATCTAAGACTTGCACGACATTTCCAGTTGAAGATGGGCAAACCACATTTTATATTTACAATGATTAGTTATTGTTGGTTTTCAGTGGTGCATCTTTTGAAAATATTAATGAAGTTTTACCAAACTAGAAGGTCAAAGCTTGTGGGATTTAAGGATTTAAAAAAAGGACAACTTTGCCCTGGCCTGGTGGCTCAGGCAGTTGGCACATCTTCCTGTACACCAAAAGGTTGTGGGTTCAATCCCCAGCCACGGCACATACCTGAGTTGACTTTTGATCTTGGTTGGGGTGTGTACTGGAGCCAACCAGTTGATGTTTTTTTCTCTCTCTCCCTTCCTCTCTAAAAATTAATAAAAACATATCCTCAAATGAGTATTAAAAAGAAAAAGACAACCAAAATTAAGCAACTAAAGAACAACAATATCTACTATGAATGCAAATTAACATAAGACAGATGAGGGAAACATGAATTATAACAATTGTTAAGTTAATGTCATTAAAATAAAGTATCCCGTTGAGAACCACCACTATCTTTTATCTTTCTTTATAAATTGCCAACAATCAATTGTATGTTTTTTATAGAGATTTTAAAAAGTCATCTCTATGTAAGTAAATAGAGTTGATTAGCATAAACAAACAAACAAGATCCATTTGTGAGTTCTCATGATGGATCTGCTTCCTTATATCTGTTATATTTGTTTGTGTTTCCGCTTGAGACCCAGGAAGGGCTAAATAATTATGTTAACTTCAGTTTTAAAGCACTCTGTAACCAACACTGTTGATGTGAGCTTTCAGCCTTGGATCGGCAGTGTTAGTAAATAAAAAATGCAAAACTTGGATATTTTAAACATGCTTATGATGCATGAGCAGCTATAGTGAAGGCAGAATTCCACATTTAATTTGTAACTTTTGGAATATATATCAAAACACAAGTAGGTTTAATGAACTTACCAATTCTCATTCTTTGTGTTATTGTTGGTGTTACTTGATGAGAGTAGCACAGTCTCATGCTTTGTTACTCAGCACCTTTTCATTCGGATTCTCTCTGGTATGGGGGTTGGTTTGTTGTAAGAAATGAAGACTAAACAGGCTGGGTTTCTATTTGGAGAGAGGGCACTGAGGGCTTAAACTATAATTGCTTATTATGAAAAGAAGGATCCTTTCTCCTAATGTTATTTTTTTAACACCATTACATTTGTCATTAACAAAATCTGTTTGGGTTCAGTGAAGTGTTTCTTGTGTCTTTAACAGAGTGTAATAACCTTTGTTCTCTGAAATTAAACTTTTCCAAATAAGATATGAGGGATTAGGTGTGCGCGTGCACACAGATATACCCCCCCACCCCCACCGCATCCCCACCCCCATAGACACAACATATGGTGATTGCTGGAGGGAAAAACGGGGCAGCGGCAGGCAGAAGACGGTAAAGGGGAAGAAAAAGGTGTGAGTGCCGGTGCTCTTATTAAGAGATCATATTCCAGTGAAGGGAATGCTTTATTTAATTGGAGATGAAGGACAAAAAGCCAGGAAGAACAAACAGGAAGCATTTTTTTATTTCCAGATTTGTCTTTGTAAATACTTATATTAAGAAATGTTTAAAAGCAGGATCTAATTATTTCTTGGATATTATCTTTTAAATTCTTAAGAAGAACAAGAGTCTTTCTGAGACAGCAGAATTTATAAACACTTTTACTGGAATTTTTTTTTTTCAAATTTCTTTATGCTAAATTGATTAGGTGAAGCACTTTCTGTCCTGGCTGGTGTGGCTCAGTGGACTGAAGTCCAGCCTGTGAACCAAAGGATCACCAGTTCAATTCCCAGTCATGACACATACCTTGGGTGCAGGCCAGGTCGCCAGTAGGAGGTGCCTGAGAAGCAACCGCACAGTGATGTTTCTCTCACTCCCTCCCTTCCCCTCTCTCTAAAAATAAATAAATAAAATTTTATTAAAAAAAAAAAGTCAAGCATTTTCCTGTTAATGTGGAGGAATTTCATTCTTTTCTACCCCTAAAAAAGTTGAGAATTGTGTAAATTTCCTTTTTACATATTAAACTATTTGGGGAAAATATCACAGTAAGTCTCTTAAGAAGATGCCAGTGAAACTGCCTATTTTTATCAGAGTGAGTCTGGGTGATTTTTTTTTCCCCCCTTCATTGTTGAGATCTTTCTATTTCAAAAGTCTGTTAGTTAGAAATGTTCATGGTAGTGTTTCTCATAGTAGCTGAAATCTACAAATGAGGTACCATAATAGATATATAAATGGTGGTATAGTCAAACATTGGAATACTGTACCAAAGTGGGAATTACTAATTTTTAGGAAAAATTAAAATCAGCACAACAAGATGTATTAATCTCAGAAACACAGTGTTAAGGGAAAGATGGCAGATATTTGATGTATATATTGTATGGTTGTGTTCACGTAAAGTTTCAAGGTGGGCAATGTCAGTTTAAGCTCTTAGAATTTGAGATCTTGTCCCCTGGGGAGGGAGGAGTAACTGGAGGGGCCCTGGTGCACTTTTTGGGGTTCTGATATATGATTTTGTATGAATTTCATTACCTGAGTATATTTACTTTTTAGAAATTCATAGAGTTTATACACTTCTTCATGTGTACATATGTTTCAATAAAAACAGTAACATTAAAAAGTCAAGAGCTCCTGTCCAAATGAAACTAATGTATTTACTGTATGTTTATTTAGTTGGAGATGAAGGACAAAAAGCCAGGAAGAACAAACAGGAAGCATTTCCTACACTGGAAACTGTGTTCACAAAACTTCAGCTTCTTTCATATTTTGATCAGCATCAAGTGACATCTCAGGTAGCCATTTAATGCTTTTTATTATATATTTGAAATATTCATATTTCCTTAAAAGTCTTTCCTATAATATATATTTCAGGCCTTCGTTGGTTTTAATATGTATTTGTTGGTTTTTAAAACATTTGGGAGCATCTCAGGCTTTTGAGTAGTTCAGTTTTAAGTGTCAGGTTGTCATCCTCAGAAGAATTAATTTTTATTATGAAAATATGTTTACCTTATAAAAATCACCATTATGTAAAGCATTCCTAATGCAGTACTTACTTTAGTACATTATGGCCCTACATTGCTCTTAATAAGAGAGAAATCTGTTGATGACAAATAATATATTATACAATTGAGAAGAAAATGTTTTAATTTACAAGTCCATTGATATTCAAATAGATATTATCTGGAAATTAATTAATACTTATAGTTCTGCCTTTAGGATAGTTAGGTCTAAATCATAATGCAACATGGTTTATTTCTTCACATTATAGTTGTAGTATAGAAGTCAATTTATACATGAGCTTGGTTTCTGTAGAAATATTTTAACATTCTTCTAAATAGAATCACATATAAATTCAGATTTATTCTTAAAAAAATTAAAGGAATTTAATAAATAAAAAAAAATACTTGGAATATTGGCCTTAAAATTAGTTTCACTTTTTTTTTGCACAGATCTCTAACAACGTGCTGGAACAAATCACAAGCTTTGCGTCAGGGACGTCTTATCACCTCCCTTTGGCTCACCACATTCAGCTCATCTTTGACCTCATGGAGCCAGCCCTGAACATCAACGGACTAATTGACTTCGCAATACAGGTGTCAAAGAGACACTGTTTCTCTCATTTTAGGAAAACAAACCTACCAGGCATCATACAATTTAAAATGAGACATTCAGTGTATTTTTGAACAATTGAGACATTCTGAATCAACAGTATCCAAATAGCATTTTCATTGCAGCTGTTACCAGTTTTCAATTAAATAATTATAATACTGTGCTAAAATATATAATAGTCATTTTAAAATGTGAGTGTTTTGAGGGTATTTTTAAAGATCTTATCTATTTTTAGAGAGAGAAAGGGAGGGAGAAAAAGGGAGAGAAACATTCCTGTGCGAGAGAAACACCTATCCGTTGCTTCTCACACACCCCCAACCAGGGGCCTGGCCCTACAACCCGGGCATGTGCCCTGACCAGGAATTATACTGGTGACCTTTTGGTTTGTGGGATCACACCCAACTCAACCCAACTCACTGAGCCATACCAGTCAGAGCTTGAGGGTATTTCTTTTTCTTTTTTTTTGTCTTGTTACTTTGTTTAGGGAAAGGCGAAAGCTTATTTGCTATTTATAATAGAGTATATTTTACATTGAGCAAAAAAGTAAGATCTTATTATTTGATTTTTCCTACGGTATTTCTTATATGTATATTTGGGTTTATTATTTTATGTTGTTAGTAAATAAAAATGGAAGTTAGTTTCCATTGCTTATTCTCTTGGAAGCGTTAGGTTTCTTAATAATATGAAAATAATTATTAAGAATTTCTGTTTTACTAAAAAGGAGGGGAAAAAGTGAGAGGCAGGATGTTCTCTGCAATTATTCAGTCTAGAACTTTGGGCTGCCATAAAGTTTTGGTAATTGTTTTAGTATTAGATACTTTCTGATTGCATGTACCATGATTTCTAGACAAAGAAAAACTCCGTAATTGAGTAAAGGATTAAAAATAAAAACCATTTTAATTCACTGAGGTGTATTTTATAAGACTAGTTGTATATGAATATGGTCCTGGGGCAGGATAAGGGGCAAGATCAAATATTACTAGAATAATGCAATATATGCATGGCTTTTAAAAATAAATGTTTTATTTGCTTTGGCAGCTACATTTTCATCCAGTCTCTCCTCTCATTGTAGCTACTAAATGAACTGAGTGTTGTAGAAGCCGAATTGCTCCTGAAATCCTCCAGCCTGGCAGGAAGTTATACCACGGGACTCTGCGTCTGCATCGTGGCTGTGCTCCGGCGGTACCACAGCTGTCTGATCCTGAATCCCGACCAAACGGCCCAGGTGTTTGAAGGGTTGGTATATACAATAGCATCATTATTTCACACATTCTATAATATATAGCTTCTGATGAAAATATAGTAATTTTCAGAGTAAACTAGTACTAATATTTATTTCTATAAAAAGATATAACAAAGCTAAAGAATAATTTTGCAAGAAAACAGGTACCAAAGGGGTTATAAGCATGAAAATACTATATTTTTTTAAATAAAGTAAGATTCCCTTCTTCCCTTTCTCTTTTCCTTTCTCTATTCCTTCCTGTCGTTTGTCCCTACCCCTAGTTTCTATGACTATAAGCCAGTTATTTATAGCACTCTGTCATCTGTGCTACCCAGCATCATGGGTAACTTTGAATGGTGCATATGCATGACAACTTTTTTGTTCATAGAGTTTATCATGTAATTTTAGCTTATATTCGGAGAATCCTATACTGAATAAGCTTTGCATGCATTGTTATCTTAGCAGTTTATTTCTTTAATTTTAT